CCCGGCCCATCCCCATCAAGGAGCCGCCGAAGCGCAAGCAGGTGGACCGCTGGACGGAGAAACGGGCCTTGTTCGGGGTCTACGACTACGTGGGGATCCTGGGTAAGACGTACAGCCCGCCCGCAGGAGGGGAGGGAGGTTGGACCCACCTGCGGGCTGGCGCCTCCTCCAGCAGCCAGAGGTGGGGGAGTATTTGGGCCGGCCGCCCTAGGAACAGACTCCTCCAGAGCCTGGCTTCACCTCTGTCTCCCCTCCTGTTCTCAGGCGGCTTCCAGATCCACCCGAAGAATCTCATCAAGGGGCCCACGTGGCTGCGAGGCTGGCGGGGGAACGAGCTGCAGAGGTGCATCCGCAAGAAGCAGATGGTGGGCGATCGGATGTTTATAGAGGACCTTCACAAACTGAACAAGAGGATCCGGTACTTGTACAGGCGCTTCAATCGCACCGGGAAGCACCGCTAGGGTTCAGCATGTGGAGCGTGGGTTTGTGGCATTGCAGTCAGAATAAAGACAGCTTTCATTCAGTTGGGTTCCCAGTGTTTCCTACAACCTTTGCTGTGTATTTCTAGCTGCTCCCAAGGTCCTGCTGCTGCTCCAGCCCTGAGCTCCCCTGTGGAAGTTCTTCTATGCCCCCTTAAGCATTTCTGACATACTTCTTGCAGACATCTGTTCCAGCCTGCATCTCTGAACTTAACCCTTGGGTCTCTGTTTTTTGGTCAGGTTTCTAGCATCCTTTTAGTCTCTGTTAACCCCAGGTTCTCACATCCTATTTGACAATTCCAGTATGCTCCAGCTTAGATAACCAAATTTTCAAGTTAGTGCCAAGAGTGCCTGCTAATATGTCTTCCTGCTCACTGCTTTCCCCCTTGCCCTCTGCTTATTTGTGATTAAGTGTGAATGATCCAAATGTTAGTTGAAATGCATCAAAACTTGTCTTAAGAATGGGATTTGTCTCCTGTTTCACACTTATGATGACTTAAACCCCTACTAATGACATTTAATGGCCAAATGGCCTTTTGTTTATAATTTAGTTAGGATTTGCAAAAGTAATTCAGGTGTTTAACTGTTTTTAAAAACTCTAGCTTCTAGTTTTCCATAACTGTTACTGGTTCCTTTAGTGGAGAAGTTACAGTGAGTCACAGCTGGCATCCCTCTAGTCCAGCATCACAAAGACCATTGTACACTTGGGAAGAAACTGTAGGATGAGCAGGCATTTGCCTACCTCTTCTCCCTTAGCTGTTAATTTGGCTGCTAAGTAATTGGGGAGTTACATCTGCTGACTTGATGTATCTTGCTACAGAGCAACGCTGCTCTGTCTCCAACAGCACTTGGTTAGAAGTGGCAGGGAATGAATGGAAAGAACTTTCTTTATGTCTAACCCTGGGAAAAGTGAAGGCAAACTCTATTCAAACAGCTGAAGTTCACATTCTCAGGAGCAGGGTGACAGACCCATGGGAATTGCCAAAAGGTCAGGAAATGTGCACAGATTCAACTGGGGACTGAGTAAACACCTGAAAGAGAGCAGCTAGGGGTTATTACATATGTAAACTGTAGGTGTAGGAAATCCTTAGCTGAAAATATGTCAGAAACAGGAAGAGTGTCAGAGCAAGTACCTTGTACCCTTTGTCATCTCTTAATCTCTAAGCACCAAGCTGGCAAGGGCTCTGTGGCCACTACTTCCATAAGCTCTGTCTTTGGTTATTTGCAATGGTTATTGGAACAGGCCTTGGACTGCGGTGGGAAGGTCGCCAGGCTACAGAAGCTTCTTCCATAACTTGTCCCTTCGCAGCTTGACTGAAGGCTCATCTTAAAAACCTTCAGTTCTGCTGAGCCCAGTGCTAGTCTGCTCCCATCTGCAAATCACCTGGCTCAAGTCACAACCCTGTATTATGTGTTCACCTTGTAGCCGTGGTATTTTGGTTCCCATGCTGTCATCTGTAACTTATCTGTCTTGTGTATCTACTAATCTATCAGATCTGATACTAAAAACTTCTATGAATGTCCTGTATCACCTTATGAAAGGAAAAGGTATTTCAGTGTGTGAACCCACGCTTGTCACCCTACTCACCACACCAAATGCTCTATGAAGAGACTTCTTGTTCTAATATGCTCCTGCCTCCTTTTGTGTTCTGAATTGAAGAATCTTCCCGTCTGATCCATCAGGCTTCTCCAGATCTGCAGAGGGGAAAAAATGCAAGCACGTTGCTGTTTGCGGGGCTGCTGCAGGAGCCTCATTTCCCCCAGCAGGCTGCAGAAGCTCAAACGGGACTTGTTCAGGTTCCCTTTCATGCTGTGCTGTATGGTGGAAGTGGGCCAGCGACACCATCTCTTAATTGCAAGGGCAGCGGCTTCCCCAAAGCCAACAGACACACTGCGGAGGTGGGATTACGGAAGAGCTCCGCAGTCCCCACCGCTACGGCACCCACTGGGATGGACTCCAAGGGAAAAACCGGACGGGGCGGATAACCAC